AGAAATAAACATTTTTCATGTTTAAAATAAAAAAAAAATTTCAAAAATTTCCTTTAGATCATTTTCGAGACCACAGGCAACATTTTGTCTTGAAGATTTCTGAACAAACGAAAAAAAGAAATTTTTTTCTCTTCTTATTTTGCGTATTATTAACAAATTTTTGTTTTTTTTTTTGAAACTTACATATACTAACACACAAAATTTAGATTGTGGGTTAGGCTAAAGAGAAAACAATAATCATACGAAGAAACTAGAAAATATTTCGGTTTTGTAACGTTCTTTATTACTGAGTTCATTCCAAAAAAATAATATTAACTTTAGAACTGGTTTTCTCACTAAATACGAAAAAAACTCTAAGTTTGGATTGTAACAAATTTTTCCTTCTGAAAAAAAAACCAGCATTTCTTAAAATTACAATGAAAAATCTGGAAAAATTTCATATTCCTAAACATACTTAACAAAAGTAAAGAAATTTTCAATCACAAATTTATCAAAATTAATTTTGAAAAATCCAAAATTTGCTTGAATCAATCGTGAATATTGATTTGGATTAAATTGCAGAGCAATCGTATTAAACACAATTAATTTATTTGCATTAAATTGCAGAACAAAGAAACTAATCCGATTCCTGTATTTACAAATGTAGCACCAAAGATATCTCTTGGAAAATTTGAGTTTTATTGGAATAAAAATGCACAGAGACAGGCACAGAGAATGGTTTCCTTTTGCTAATTTGAATAGAAATTCTCTTACAAATGGTTAAGGGAGAGCGAGGGAGTGGTTTTGCTTTTGTTGTATTAGCAATTTGGTAATTTGATCTTATTCTGTTGGTAGCTTCAAATAAACCTAAAGCAATTTATTTCCCTCTCATTGTTCTTCTTCAGTGCCTCACTCCTTTTCAAATGCTTCTTATATTTCTCCTTCCACTTTTTCTTGTTTGTTTTGTTTCCTTTCAGAATTTATTTCTTCTTCTGAAATTTCTTTTTCGTACGCTTTCTTTCCTCTTTATGTTATTTTTCTTATTCTTTTTTGTGGTCCCATCGTTTTTCGACTTTTCTTTTCTTTCGCTTTCCTTTTTCTTCCTCTACCTCTTCTTCTTCTTCATCTTTTCATCATTTTCTTTTTCTTTTCTTTCTTTTTCTCTTCTTCTCCTCTTCCTATTCTTTTCCTTCTTCTCCTCTGCTTCTTACTTTTCTTCTTCTTCTCCATCTTCTTCTTTGTCTTCTTCACTAGTAATTCGTTTCACATAAGGAAAAACTAAGTCAAAAACCATTAAAATCTTTACTTAATCTTCTCTTCATTATAGAAAAATAATTTTTCTAACAAAAAAAAAAAAAAAACTTTTTATTATTTTCATAATCCACTTTTCAACCTTTCAAATCAAGAAATGCAAATCACATGCTCATATTTATCTAAGATTAACTTCATTTCGCCTCGTCTGTTTTTCTTTTTTTTTTTTCTCCCAATTTTTCTTTACTTATCTCTCTCATATTTTCACTATACCATAATAAAATATCTTGTATTCAAACTACGAATTACAATCTTTAACTGTCTTTTCCATAATATTTATCAATTAGAATTATTTTCGGCTGATAATCTTCTTTTATTTAAACACAAATAAAAAAAAAATTAAGTTTTTTCCTCTCTTAAAATATCCTTTTTCATTTATTGTATGGTAAACTTGAAAAAAATTTGACTGCTTGTTTTGAAGTTAATCTAAAATTCAGATATCAACTAACCAATAAGGATTTTATAAAAATTAAAATGAAAAAAAAAAATTATAATGAAATTTTTTGAAAACAATATCAGAAAAAAATTTATCTTTAAAGAGATTAAACATAAAAGAAAAAAAAAATTAAAACTGATTTCAAATATGAGAGAAAAAACAATAGTAGAATTTTTCTCTTGTACTCGTAGTGGAGCAGAAGAGAATAGAAAAAATCATAAATATTTTAAGAAGCCTACAGTTGTAATGGTATTACGCCCTACACAATAATTTACTGTTTTATAATAAATTGCTAATGAACGGACACATTAAATTTAAGTAATGTCCTCTTACTGGGAGACTAGTATTAATGGTTAATAATATTCCAGTAATTGGTGGATTCATTTTCATCTCTTCTTTACATATCACATTAATAATCATTTGATTATTAAAAATTTATTAGACTAAATAGACCATCTATTATTATCAAAGATAGCAAGCATTCAGTCAATTCGATATAACGTTGACAAAATAAGTCCTTCATGTCATTTAAAACTTTTTTCAAGGAATTTTTAATTCTAAGATCTAAGATCTATGAAAAATAAAACAATTTAAATATTACAAGAACCGCACATTTCAAAAATTTCAAGATTTTTTTTTTCATCCCAACCAAAAACCTTTAACTAATCCACACCAAAAACTTTTCTAACTTATTGTGTTTTTTTTTCTCTATTCCCAACACTTGTTCTTCTAAAAACTTAAAACAACAACAATTACTGTTATATATACGTTGCTTACGTGTACATATTTCAGATTTTATTATGGAAAATGAACTATTCATAGAATTAGTTTTAATATTCATAATAATATTCTTATATATACTCTGAATATCCTTTATATGTTTATATATATATATAAAGCCACACACAAAAGCAATGTTATATGCATTACTCTTGTATATTCAAGGATATTAAACAATATAAAAAGATGAATATTGTCTGTTTTAGAAAGGTTTTTTTAAAAAAAAAAATTTTTTTTCTTCTTCTGTTTCAAAACTCCAAAAATAAGAAAGACACGAAAAGAAAAAACAAAATGTAAAATAAAATACAAATCCAAAGGATTCCATGTTTTTTTATCCTTTTCTGCTTTATTTTTTTTTTTGTTGTTTTCTTGTTTTTGGTTTTAAACATTTTTTTTTTTTCTAATTTCAAAAATGAGTCGATATAAAAGGGTTAGAACACACACAAAAAAAATATATAAGAACAAGTAATGCAAGAACACAAACACCAACACAAGAAAAATTAAAAAAAAAAAAAAACTTTAATGTTCTGATAATTTTTTACTGATAACTTTGAATATAACAAAAGAAGCAAAAATTAAAACAAAAAAGAAAAAGAAAGAAAAAAAGTTTAAAACGTGGCAGCCATCACAAAAGGATAATGGTATTATAATCTTGTGTTGTTACAGGATAATTTTTTTTTCTTCTTCTTCTATCTCCATTTCTCCCTTTGTCACTTTCGTTCTTTCTTTTCTTTTCTATTTTTTTATGTTGTTGTTTTTTGTAGCCCGAAAATTTTTTTCATGAAATTTGATTTTCTGTTTTTTTTTTATTCCATTCTCTATTGTTGCTTTTCTCTCTTTTTTCTCTTGTTGATTTAAGTTTGTATTTTTTGTATTTTTTTTTTTTTGGTATTCTTGTGTTCTGTTATGCCAGTTTTTTCTTATTAACCTTGTGCCGATATCTAATTTCTGAAATATACATACATTATCGTTTGTTATCATAGATATATTATAGAGTAAGTGATATTGGCATGTACAATATACATATATATATACTAAATATGTAGACATGTATGTATTTTGTACCCTACTCCAAAAGTAGAGTATTACAATGTACATTTTTATGTCAAAGAACATTTTCTAGTTGAACAAATATGAGATCAAAATATTCAGTAATGAGTATACATAAAAATTTTATTATCATACCATTTACTATAATAATATTATAATTATATTATTACACAATATACGTCATAATATATACAATGTCGGATAAAAATTATTAATGTTAATTGAAAATTAGATAATTTTTATAAATTTTTGTTGATTTAAGTGATTTGCAGTTTTGAATTAAAAATATGAGTGGTAAGAGCGAGGAGAGAGATTTAAACTAGCATACCAACAATTTTCTCTTTAAGAAGAATTTCAGTTTGTCAGTGGTCTAATCATAAATCTCCTGCGTATACGTACATTAGATTGCTATTGAATCAAATAATTTTGATTGGGGGGGTTCGACATTTTATTTATGATTTTTTTTTTAATTGTATTGGATTTACTTTGCAATATTCACGTTTATGATAAGTATGTTTGAAACATAGACACAATTACCGGTCACTTTTTAAAATGATGTTGTATTAAATAAATTACCGTTTCGAGTTCGATTAAGTATCATAATTTAGAAGATGGAAAAAATTTACAAATTATTAATATCATTTCAATTTCAATTTACAAGTGATAGTAGTAAAAAATTAACATTAATGTTAATTGAAAACTAAAAATATTATAAGGTCCGGACAATGGTAAAACCAATTTCGAATGACAACTTCATTGCAACTAAAATAAATTTTGTCAGTTTTCCCATATGAGCACCTCGTTTTCTCACTGAGAAAAGAGTTCACTTGGGAAAAAGTGAACTCTTTTCTCAGTGAGATTAGAGTTCTTTTTATTAGAAAAAAAAAACATATTTTGAACACTGTATATCGTAAAAATTAAAAAAAAAAACTCAAATAGAAAAATTCTAATCACAACCAAAAGAATAAAAAAATTTAACTTAGTTTACTTAGTTTTTTTTTATCTTCTCAACCATCTTTTTTCCCGTTTTATATAATGTTGCCATCACATTGTGTACATTCATTTCTATTTTTATTTTCCTTCCGGCAATTTTCCGAAAAAGCATATTTTTTATAGATTTCATACACTTTCGATATTCATTTTCTATAGGATATAAATTTTTTTACAAAAATATTATAGAAATTAAAACTACTACACAATATTGTTGAATTTTATTGCCATAAATGAGTACCTATATACGAGAAGATGAACAGAGATGGTGTGGAACTTAAGTTACAGCATAGTCATTCGCACTAAACCACTGAAATGAAGATTATTTAGTAAAAAGTAGTTTTGTTTTTTGTCTGGCACTTAAATTTGTCTGACACTTTATAATTTGAATAATTTGTAAAAATTAAAATTGATTGTAAATTAAATTTGCAATTAAATAAATAATATTTCGTAGAGAGACGTATAACGTATTTAACTGAAATTAAACTGAGAAATGAAAAAAAAACTAGTAGCAGCAGTAGTTGTAGTAGTAAAAGTAGTATTATTAGTAGTAGTACCAGTTACAGCAGTAGTAGTGTTTGTAATATTATTATTAGTTCTAATAGTAGTAGTAATACTAGTAGTACTTTTAGTAGTAGTAGCAGTAGTAGTAATTGTAGCATTATTATTAGTAATGGTAGTAGCAGTAGTAGTAGTAGTAATTATAGTAGCATTATTAGTAGTAACATTATTATTAGTGACAATAGTAGTAGCAGTAGTAGTAGTAGTAGTAGAAGAAGTAATATTATTAGTAGTAGTAGTAGTAGTTGCAGCAATGCTAGTAATAATTGTAATATCATTATAAATTGTAATAGCAGTAGTAATAGTACTAATTGTAGCGGCAGTAGTAATTATAGAAGCATTATTAGTAGTAATAATAGTGGCAGTAGTAGTAGTACTGGTAGTAGTAGTAGTAGCAGTTGCAGTAGTACTAGTAGTAATACTAGCCGTAGTAGTGTTAGTAATAGTAGTAATAGCAAAAGTAGCATTAGTAATAGCAGTAGTAGTAGTAATAGTAATAGCATTATTAGAAGTAATAGTAGGAGTAGTAGTAGAAGTTGTAGTAGATTAGTAGTAGTTGTAGCACTAGTAATCTTAGTTGTAATAATAGTAGTAGTTGTATATAGTAGCAGAAACAGTCGTCGTATTATTAGTAGTAGTAGTCGCATTAGCGATAAAAATTAAAATAAAAGTAGTAGCTTGGTACATAATTGTAAGTCATGCGAATTAGCTAATATTACCATCATTTTATTTTAAATATCCCCCTCATAATTCCTATTAGGTAAACGATATTTCCAATAAGTCTTTAAAATTGCGACTGATTCCATTTAAAAGAAAAAATGAAACTAAACCAGATGAAAATAACCTCATTAATATTATATTCCCCAGATCATTTCTGTAAAATTTCCCATTTAAATTTTAATTTCAATATTTAATAGGCTTTAATTATATTATCATAAAATTAGAGAAGAATATAAAAAAAAATTCCACTACTAACACGATATTTTGAAAATAATTTCTGGTCAATTAATGGGTCTAGTTGAGAAAATAAAAAATCAATACATGGATGTTACATTTTAGCTTTTCTTTTATATTACACCATATAAGTCCTATAAACACCCTCATAGATAATATATGTATCAGTTCTGTAAAGCAATGTGTGCTTTACAAGCAACAGACTAAATCAAGTTTATTTGTAATAAAAATAAAAATATTCAGTCACACATGCCATTTTAGTGCCATTAAAAATAAAATGCCAAACGAAATTTGATATTCAATCAATTTTTCTGTTTTTTTTTTTTAATAGTGTACACAAATTATAAAAGTTAACATTGAAAATCAATTTCTATGTGTAAATACACATATATACATACAAATATATTGATATTATAAAAATGATATAGTTTAAGGGTAATTATTGTTATGGCGTGTATATACAACAATAGAATTTTTTTTACAAATTTTTGAATTCAATTAAATACAAAACAAGTAAAAACGTTTCAGTCGGTATAAACCGATTGAATTATACCCTGCACTTTTCGTTATTGTGTAGCAATTACTTGAACCTCTGAAATCATTCTATAGAAACTTCTCGGACGTGTCTGACCTATAATTGGACATCCGACTGCCCAGTTTCATGAATCTGACCTTATAATTTTTCCAAATATTTAAAATTAACTTTTGGAGTTGTATGGTAAGTACCTGAACCTGTCAAGCAATTCTACTAAAACTTCACAAATATATCTGATCTATAATCGGACACACAACTGCCAAGTTTCATGAATCTGACTTTATTATTTTTCCAAATGTTAAGAATTAGCTTTTGGAGTTGTATGGCAAGTACCCGAACCTGTCAAGCAATCGCACCAAAACTTTAGAAATATGTGTGACCTATAATTGGACACACGACTGCCAAGTCTAATGAATTTGACTTCATTATTTTTCCAAATATTTAAAATAAGCTTTTAGACTTGTATGGGAGCTACTCGAACCTGTCAAGCAATTCCACCAAAACTTCAGAAATATATTTGAGCCATAATTGGACACATGACTGCCAAGTTTCATGAATCTGACTTTATTATTTTTCCAAATATTTAAAATTAGCTTCTGGAGTTGTATGGCAGGTACCAGAACCTGTCAAGCGATTCCTTTAAAACTTCAGAAATATATTTGATCTATAATTGGACACATGACTGCCAAGTTTCATGAATCTGACTTTATTATTTTTCCGAATATAAAAAATTTGCTGTTGGAGTTGTATGACAGCCACCCGAACCGGTGCAGCTATCCCATTATAATTTTCAGAGCATATGTAGAATGTAATTGGACACATGTATACAAAATTTTATATTTATAGCCTTATTAGTTTTTGAAATATTTAAAATAAACTCTTGGAGTTGTATGGCAGCTACCCGAACCCGTTGTCCGACTTAGTCCAATAACAATAGGGTTCGTCCTTGGCACAAAAGAAAAAACTTGTGAAAGTTTGGTGTCGATTGCATTATTCGTTTTTGAGTTATCGTGCGATCGGGCGGACGGACGGACGGACGGACGGACGGACGGACGGACGGACGGACGGACATGTCTAAATCGACGCAGAATTTTACGCTGAGCAAGAATATATATATATGTCCATACCGCAGATGACTCCTTCAAGTAGTTACAAACTCCATACCAAAGTTAATATACCCTTCACGAAGTGCAGGGTATAAAAATTGTTATACGCACATTAATTTATATAATTATACAATGAAAAGAATTTATTTATATTGAATAAATATAAAATTTTTTGTAAATGTTTATAGTTAAAATTTATTAAATATTTTTTTGACTAAAACCAATATTTTTATGGGTAGTCAATAAAATTTTAAGAATTTTTTATTGGTGTAAGAAATTTTTTATTAAAATAATTGAAGTACTTCTTGTACTTCGTGAAGATTAGATAGGGCTCTTCATCACATTTTTTATTTCATCACATTTTAATCACATTACGATTTGGAATTGCTTAAAAGAAGTCTAAGATTTTCTAAAAATATAAGCGTGATTTTATAAATAACACGATTTCCACTATATAATTACCCATTTGTTCCTTATACTATAAAGTTTCCACAGAAGAATCATACCGAACTAAGCATTACGAGTATATCATACCAACTCGACTTTGCGATAATTCATTAAGTAGTTTTCATTATTTTCAAAGCGTTATAATTACTTAAATAATATTATAATTAGTTGGTCACAAGTAAATCTGAATAAATTACTGAAACTTGCATCCTATTTATTCTTTTACATTTTATTTTACTAATGTTTCTACACTGAATTTGTTTCACGTTCTGGGTTAATGGCAAATTAAAAATTTCAGCTTTATTGCAATTTTTATACCCGTACGAACGTATGTTCGAAGGGTATACTAAATTTGCCTTACCGTTTGTAACGCTAAGAAATAACGGTGTTAGATATAGACTCAAGTGTATGTTTTTGATCAGCGTCAAATTCTGAGTTGATTTAGCTTTGTCTGTCCGTCCGTCCGTCCGTCCGTCCGTCCGTCCGTCCGTCCGTCCGTCCGAACGATAACTCAAAAACTAATTGAGCTAAGTACACCAAATTTTCACAAATGATTTATTGTAGTAAGTGCCAGAACCCTATTTAAATTGGACATGATCGGGGTACCGGTTCGGGTAGCTGCCATACAACTTCAAAATTTATTTGGCTATATCTCAGAAACTATAAAAGTTATGGTATTGAAATTTCAAATAAACGAATATATTAGTAGGGCCAATATGCCCCATAAAAGTCGTTGAAATTACTTGGCTCCTTCTGGTACCTGCCATACAACTTCAAAAGTTATTTGGCTATATCTCAGAAACTATAAAAGATGTGGTATTGAGATTTCACACAAGTGAATATATTAGTAGGGCCGATGTGTCTGGTAAAAGTCGTTCAAATTACTTGGCTCCTTCTGGTACCTGCCATACAACTTCAAAAGTTATTTGGCTATATCTCAGAAACTATAAAAGTTATGGTATTGAAATTTCAAATAAACGAATATATTAGTAGGGCCAATATGCCCCATAAAAGTCGTTGAAATTACTTGGCTCCTTCTGGTACCTGCCATACAACTTCAAAAGTTATTTGGCTATATCTCAGAAACTATAAAAGATGTGGTATTGAGATTTCACACAAGTGAATATATTAGTAGGGCCGATGTGTCTGGTAAAAGTCGTTCAAATTACTTGGCTCCTTCTGGTACCTGCCATACAACTTCAAAAGTTATTTGACTATATTTCAGAAACTATTAAAGCTATGGTATTGAAATTTCACACAAACGAATATATTAGTAGGGCCAATGTGTCTCATAAAAGTCGTTGAAATTACTTGGCTCCTTCTGGTACATGCCATACAACTTCAAAAGTTATTTGACTATATCTCAGAAACTATAAAAGCTGTGACATTGAGATTTCACACAAGTGAGTATATTAGTAGGGCCGATGTGCTTGATAAAATTCGCTAAAATTTCTTGGCTCTTTCTGGTAGCTGCCATACAACATCAATAGTAGTTTGGCACAACCAGTATTTTGAATAACACATAGTACTGAAATTTTGCATAAATTAATATGCTACGGCAACTTGAAGTCATAGTCTGCCCTATAGTTAGTTATGGCACATTAGTTATTCGCACATAGGATAACAACTCTATTTTTTTCTCGTTTTTTCTATATTTCTCTTAAATTCTATATGTCTCTTAAATTAATTGTCTTGCGTGTGAAATCTAATAACAAATAAAATAACATTTTCTCTTTATTCCGGATCTATGCATATTACAGACTGACAACAAACTATTAAAAACCTAAATTAAAATTCTTCATTTATTTTAAACAATTCTGCTCAAAACATCCTTTTCTTCATAAAATTTAATCTGAAAATAAAAATTCGAATTCTTAGTATACTATTTTTATAAGTTTTTCCAAATCTATTAAAAAATTTGTATAAGAAAATATTGTCTACATCATTATTAAGTACTAGCTATATCATAAGGAGATGTAAAAATAAAAAAAAAAAAAATTATTTTTTATTGAAATTTAAAAACCTTCTCAAGGGAAATGAGCTGCTAAAATTCATTCAACTGTTGCTTTTCATTATAAAATTGAATTTCAATTATTTTTTTTGTTTTTTTTTCTAAAAATTTTCTTGAAATTTGATAAACATTACAAGTCATTAATTATTATTTTATTTTATTCGTTTTCGTAGAATTTCATTTGATCCTTTCATGCATATACATACATACATACAATTATAGGAGTAATAATAATATAAGTATGTATATGTATTCGATATACTTAAATTAATTTTTTTTTTTTGTATAAAATTAATTTTAATAGTATAATTAGCTAATGCTATTGGGTATTAAGACACACACTCACAAAAAAAAATAAAGAGAACAAAACAACAAAGGAAGAAAAAAAAACAAATTTTTTTTTGAAATAGATATCTATCAAAGAATATTGTATTTCTAGTAAAAGGAAAAAAAAAATTAGAAATAAAAAATTATGTATGTATGTGTGTTGCTGTGTATTCCTTTTATTCAAAATTTCTAAAAATATCTTGATTTAATTCATTTCATATTGATGCTTATGGGAATAAAAAATGAAAAGAAAAAAAAAATTTTATTATTTTTCCGAATATTT